ACAACTGACTAGCGAATCTGGAATTTTATGGAGTAACATCTTCGACACGATACTGTCGTCCAATAAAATTTGAATTTGTTCATGAAACTGCAGACATCTCCAGAAATGAATATCATACTATGGAAGAAAAAATAAAAAATTTAAATTCTATGCAATATAAAAATGTAATACTTACTTATGAAATGTTATTAACATGATTGATGGAAAAGTATGCACAGCTCTTTCAAATGAAACTTCTTGTGCAACTTGTCCGATATGCGGAGCAAAACCCAGTCAAATGAACTCAATAGATAAAATATTAAACAACGATGTAAATAAGACTATGGCCGGTATTCATAGTCCGTTCTTATATTCAAGATCGTCTTAAGCACGAACTTATATTCGCTCTCTTCGTCAGACACAATCTATGTTTGACGAAGAGAGCGAATATAAGTCCGTGCTTAAGACGATTTTGAATTTAAGAAGGGACTATGAATACCGCCCTATATATATATAATTTTGGTATTTCCAGTCTGCATGCAAAAATTCGTTGCATGGAATTTTTACTACACGTTTCATATAACATGTCCTTCAAGAAATGGTCAGTACGCGATCCTGTCCTCAAGAAACAACGACAAGTCACGAAGAAAAAGATTCAAGAAGACTTCAAGAGAGAATTGGGATTAGCAATTGATATAGTTAAACAAGGTTCAGGTTTATCCAATGATGGAAATACGGCAAGACGATTCTTTTCCGAAGTAGACATAACAGCGAAAATTACTGGTCTAGATAAGGAATTGATCCAGAAATTTGCAGTCATTTTGCAAACTATTTCATGCGGGGAAGCAGTAGATGCTAAGAAATTCGGGAAGTATGCGTTAGAGACAGCAAGACTATTTATTGAGAATTACAATTGGTACTACATGCCTGCATCTGTACATAAACTCCTCATACACGGAGAAAAAATTATAGAAAACTTTTCAATTCGGATAGGCCAATTATCCGAAGAAGCAAGTGAAGCTCGCAATAAAGAATTCAAAAAATACAGAGAAATGCATTCCCGCAAAATCAATAGAGTAGCCACAAATGAAGATGTTTTACATCATCTTTTAGTCACCTCGGATTCTATTATTTCGAGTTTACGGTCTAATCTAACTAAAAAGAAGAAACAAGATCTATTTCCAGAAACGCTACAACTTTTAATTTGATTCTTTTACGTTGTTCGTACGTATGCCCATCCACACACATATAACTCCACGAACATACACACACACACACACACATACACACACACGCGCGCGCGCGAGATGCAAATCCGACTGTGCAACCTCCACGTGGTGCATCTTGGGTAGATACAAAGTATCTAGCAAATGCCAACGGTAAAAATCCATAATTGTGTTCAAGTTTTTTCTATAGAAAACTTAATTAATAAACACAATTCATCATTACAAAAAATTAATATTTTTAATACAAAAATATTCAGAAATATTGTGTATTTATTACTTGAGCCCGAGCTATGTTCGCAATCTGTTGTTATTGTCGTTCTAAATCTAGAGATATATACTATTTCGTTAACAAAGTTTTACATATATTTTGCAAAGCTGCACCTAGCAGCAGTTCATTCTTCTTTGAGCTAGTAGTACAATGACTACTGTACATAGTTCAATTAATAAAAAAGCTATCAATCTTAAACATTTTTTTAAAACTCAATGACAAATGAAGCAACATATACTTTTCTCGTTAATCAGATATCGTTCCGAAAAATATTCGAGAAAAGCTATGAAAGTATTTTTATGTACTTAAACTTGTGCTATAACATAAGAAAAACCTTTATTATATAATGAAATTCATATGGAGATAAGGCGATATGAAAACTTGGCGCAGAAATATCAAAAAAGTTATGTATATCAGGTAATCTTATATTATGATATATTTGTACATATATTATGAAAATATTACAAGTAATTGAAGTTTTTATAATAATCTACAAATAATTTACTATCAGAATTTGCTATCAGAAGTAGTAATGTCGACAAGTCAGTTTTTTCGTCTATGTCCGCTATTTCTCAAGCGTCGATTCACTGTGCGTAGGGGCGAAGTTCTCCGCCGCCTATGCGTGAAATTTCAAACAAAGCGAGGTTCAACGTGGGTTTACGAGTTTTTACACAAAGCGCAATAATGTCATGTGCGCAATGTGTATGTGTGCAATAATGTCTTATGTGCAAACGTACGTTTGTATTTTTAATTTTTAAATGTACGCAATAATATTATGTGTGCAATGTGTATGTGCGCAATGTTTATGTGCGCAATAATGTCATGTGTGCAATGTGTATATGTGCAATAATGTCTTGTGTGCAAACGTACGTTTGTATTTTTAATTTTTAAATGTGCGCAATAATGCTTGTAGGCAATCACTCTGTAGGCAATCGGGAATGTCGGCAATTGAAGCTGTCGGCAAAATATTGTGGGCAAACGAAGCTGTTGGCAAATGGGAATGTAGGCAGTTGAACCCCTCTCGTATTATATGCATATTTTTCAAATATTATTTTGTCATATTTAATTCATATTTATTTCACACCTTGTATATGCCTATTTCATCTCGTGCATTATATTACAGCTTTACGATAGAATTACAGTTGAGAAAAGAAGCGCGAGCGTTGTTTGTTTACAAACCATTCGACACAAACCACATGTCAGTGTAGTGAATTACCAGTAAATGAATTTGTGTATGTACATGAACATTAGGCCGACAATCTCATTTTTAGTTCCATCGAAATGATGGCGCTATTGCGTTGGAGTTTAGCTGTCACTCCGAAATTTTCTTAATTATTTAATCCTCTTAATCATTATTAAGTGCTTTATACAGGGTGTCTGTGATGGAGACGGATGCTGCGTAAATCATGGACTGAGCGTCGAACAAATATCGATCCTACAACAATTAGAGATCAAGAAGCGACTATCTGCGTTATGCCTACAATGAATAGCACGGTTCTTCGGTCATATTGCATGACGCAACGGCGATGGTCTCGAGAGATTAATTAGTATTTGGCAATGTGGAAAACCGTAGAAACAGAGGACACTCCTCAACCCGTTGGATTGATCAAGATTGCACCAAGTGCAATAAATTACGGCTGCCTTCTTCTGGAATTCCTTTAAGGCGGCAGAGGATTCGTGAACGAGACGCGATAAGAGAGAGTCACGATCTCTAGACATAAGGGAACGACTGAAGATGATGACAGGGTATCTGAGAACACCCGTACCTTTTTTAAAATAAAGGGAAGTGATTTTTATCATAAATCCCGAAAATTTTGATGAGTAAATTGGATATGCTCTATCGAATGATAATATTTTCAACTTCCGCTTTCGACTAGAAATAGGCTATTCAGATCGGAAGTTGAATTTTTAAATGTAACATGGTACTTTTTATTACAGATACAGATTACACGCAAAAATATAAAAAACTTTTATCTCAAACATTTTTTCTGAAAATGCTTCCATTGGCCTTAAAATAACCTGGGAAATTTGATGAAAGAAACAGTAATTCTCTTGAATCTCTTGAATGTGTTACGTCCTGCACGGTCTTTCCTTTGCGCGCTTCCTCACGGTTAACCGGTAAAATTCAAAAAGGAAATGAAACCACGGAAATAGAAAATTTTTCGTTATATAAAAACCGAGCACATTCGTCTAATACTCTGGACAAATAACCAAACAATAAATAATAAAGTAATAAAGATAATCTCCGGAACCAAAAATTCTTTTTGGAAGATAAAAATCAAATCTAGATAAAATTTTAAGTTAGATATCACTTTGAGCGAGATAAAGAATATTCGTTCAGAATATAAATTCCAAAGGGCAATAATAAAGCAAAAAAAAAAAGAAAGCATGTACAAAAAGAGTAAATTTTTGGTTCTCTAAAATGCAATAAATACTTTAAGAAATTTAGATAAGTCCAGGATTAGACGAACAAATATAAAAACGGCGACACTCTAATAAAAACATCTCATTGAATTTTCGCCAACCATCACATTTGGGACAAATAATCGGAAACTCAGTTCTGTAAACACATTTTACAACGTCCTGACATTAACTACCCCACCGAATCTCTTAATCATTTCGACTCCTATTCGCTGAAGCCTTACTCCTCCCTACCGTAAAACAACCCTAAGCCTCGATCTCTTATTTTTAAGAAATCTTTATCACCTCCTTTCACCAACCAAAAATCCATCGACTTTATTCGTTAGATCCTTTTGATTTCCCACTATGTAAAGCATTTTTACTGATTCCACCATTTTTATTCACCGATACATTTCACTATCCTTCCTCACAATAAAATTTCCTTAACGACTAAATTCTAATTCCTTCCCCACGACAAGTTTCCCAAAATTAAAAAAACTCAAAAAGACTATTCTTCTTCCAAAAAGTTAGTGTATAAAAGGAATTTTCGCCACGATTTATGTACTCACTGTTTCACCCGTTTCCGTCTTACACGCCAATAACATTTTCCGCTCCTTACGCAGTTTTTAACTCTCGGCGCGCCGGTACTTGAATTTATGCTTGTATATGGTAAATCAGTCTCAACTCCGACAAGTATTTATAGTATTCATATTCGTGCAATTCCTTCGTGTGCAAACGGTTGTGTAAGTATAACTGGATTGTGAATAGAACAGCTATCTCCATCTGGCACTCAACAAATCAACAACGGAAATCAAGTCAGCAATCAAAATCCTAAAGGAATCGTTTATCACCAAACTCACCGAGGTTCAAGACAAGTAGCAAGTCCTAGAAATAGTAAATTTAAATAGATCTCAGAAGTAGCGCGATTCCTATTTTTATTTCCCTACCTCCTTTTCCTCATAAATAATTAATTTATTTTTTCACTGTTTCAATCTTACTTTGAGTGAGTTTCATTCGGCTCCTTGAATTGGATTGAATTATTTTCTTATTAAATATTCTTTTATTTGATCTTAGTTCGGGTGAGCTTCAACTGGCTCCTTGAATCAGATTAAATATTCTTTCTCTACTCTCTTAAAGTCAATCAGTGAAAATAACGCTGATTGAATCAGTGAAACAGTATGTCACGGACAATCAGTGAGTATTTACTGACATTTAGTAACAATACTCCCACCTTGGTTCTCAGACTTACAATTTACTGATTTTAGCCAGTGGAAGTAAGATTTCACTGCAAATCTGTAACCGCGAGCCAATAAGAGCTCAGTTTGTTGCTGCGCGATATATCCGTTCTTTTGTCTGCGGCGTCCGCGATATGCGTGTGCTTGTGTCGTGTGTCGTGCCGGTCGTGTCGTGCATCGTTCGTCGTACGTCGTAACTGATGCAACACGATACTGATTACAACACGTTAGCTGCTATCCGTCTGCATTGTCCGCAACGATCGACGGTATTTGGTAAGTTCAACGCTTTTATGTGGCATTTTATTATATTATTATAATTATAACATTTTATTATATTCATTATTGTGTGTATTTCGTTATCATAACCATTCTTGTAGTGTTTTATGTAATACGTAGTCGCAGACACACACGTGAACTTTTCTCTTTTTATCTTTAATATTTATTTCTCAATTGCAGACTAAAATGAGAAAAATAACAAATTTGTCTATCCAAGAATTAGGAACAAAAATCGAGGAAATAACAGATGAGGAGACACGAAAAAAGTTTGAAGGTTAATTTACATATATATCTTTTTTTACATTTTTTTAACAAGCATTATAATATTTAGAAATATGAAACATCAAATAGCAAAATTTAACATTTTATTATATATTTATTGTTACATCTCGGAATGCTATCTCAGACTTTATTCTTTTTGCAAATTATTTATACGACTGCCACATTCCTAGAATATATATTTATATTTAAAAATTGATTAAATGTCATCTTTCTTTTTTTACATATTTATCATTTCTATTTATTTATTTTATTTCTTGATAATAGTTATAAAATAATAGTTATTTTTAAATCATGTTTATTAATATTACAGGTGTAAAAATTTCATTAAAATATATCAGCAATGGAGCCTTTGAAATGTTTTATGTGTCGTAAGACTGTAAAGGGAGAGTTAAATGGTTTGGCAAGACATTTTACAATAGTACATGGTTTGACACTCAAACACGGAATAGACAAAGTTGGGTTTCAATGTGGTCAAAAAAATTGTTATCGAAGATTTCTTCATTTTTATTCTTTAAGAGATCATATAAGGAAAATTCATTTTTCTCGAAAAGAAAATTATAACCTTTCTGTAGAAAATACAGAATCCACTTCTTCGTATGATGATATAATTATTAATGAAAATGATGCAAACAAAATATCTGAAAATTCAAATAATGTAGAGTCCTTAAAAATTTGTGACAATTTTAATTTAAGAGATTCTTTGATAAGTCTAATAATTAGATTACAATCAAAAGTATCAATGACGGGAAGCATTATAACTGATATTCTTGATGAATATGAACAAATAACAAATAATTTGTGTTTATCATTAAAAACTAAAGTTGAACAATTTTTGCAATCTAAAGAAATGCTTCATGACCCTGATGTCAATAATTTATTAAATTCTTTTGAAATAGATAAATCTTTTGAAGGTTTAAGAACACTTGAACAACAAATGGAAGTTTTAACAAATAATACAGAATATATCAAGCCTCAGGAAATACCTTTAGGTGAACGTATAGAAAATGCAATTGATAAGAAAACAGGCACTTCTGTACCAAGAACAATTCTTGAAACTTGTCAATATGTTTCTATAATAGAATCTTTAACAATGGTGCTTAGAAATAAAGACATACGCGCTGTAATAGAAGCAGAGAAAAAATCAAATGATGGCATTCTTGCATCTTTTATTGATGGGCAGCATTTTAAAAATCATCCTTTTTTTCAGAAATACAAACATGCCATTAGAATTCAACTTTATTATGATGAACTGAAAATTGTCAATCCACTTGGTTCTAAGACCGGTATTAATAAATTAGGAGTCTTTTATTATACAATACAGAATCTTCAATCTCACATGAATTCTGAAACAAGCAGTATTCACGTTTTGCTTCTTTGTTGTCATGTTGACATAAAAAAATATAAAATGAAAAAAATATTAAGTCCTTTCTTAGAAGATCTTGTAAAGTTAGAAAGTGATGAAGGAGTTTGTTATACTTTTAGAAGGACAAGAATATATTTTGCGTGCATCATTGACTGTATTTGTTGGGGATGGATTAGCTGTCCATGAAGTATTTAATTTGCTAGGTCCATCTTCTAATTTCTTTTGTCGAATGTGTCTTTATACTAGACAAGATTTGCATAATGGTAGCATAGAAATTAAACAATCAAGAAATATGGCAGTTTACAATGAGCACTTAAATTTACTACATAATGCAAACTATAGCGATAATGCTAAAACATTAACAGGAATGCATGGAGAGTGTTGCTTACATTCATCTCGTTTCTTTCATATATGTAAAAACCTTATTTTTGATCCAATGCATGATATTCTTTGTGGTATTGGACCAATGATATTAAAGTTAGTTTTAATTCGTTATACTTTGGAATTAAAATTGTTTCATATAAATGATTTTAACAACAGAATAGCATCATTTTAATATGGTTTTGTTGAAAGAAAGAATAAGCCTTCGGCAAATTTCAGTGAAAGAATATTGCGTGTAAAAGGGCATACTTTAAATCAAAAAGCTATGCAAATATGGTGTCTTCTTCGCGTTTTCCCTTTCTTAATTTCTGATTGGGTCTTGACAGGAGAAGAACATCTACAACTGATTCTCATTTTGCTAAGAATTATGGAAATCGTATTTGCGCCAAAAGTTACAGTTTCTCTTATGTCTTATTTGAGAGCCCTCATTATAGATTTTTTGGAAACATTCAAACAACTTTTCCCTGATGTACATATGATAAATAAATTCCATCATTTAACTCATTACCCAGATTGTATGTTGTGGTCAGGACCTCTTCAATTGTACAACTGTATGCGTTATAAAGCCAAACATAATGAAATAAAACTAAGAGCACAAAATGTTCATAATTTTAAAAATCCACCGAAAACATTGATAAGAATTGTTCAATGTTCTCAAAGTGCTAGATGGGGAAAAGGAAATGCCACAATTATTCGAGTTGAGCCATTAAATGGAGAAACAGTTACAGTGCAAAATTGCCAAAGTCGTACATATTTACATGATCTAGGATATGTTGATACTGATTCTATATTTACCACTAATGCTATAAAAATAAATGGTGTGGAATTTCGACTTAATTTATTAGTATGTCTTAAAATTGATAAACAAAACGAAAAAATTTGCCTCTTTTTGGATGTATTAAAGAAATTTTAATGTTAAATAAAAATGAAGTATACTTTTTGACCACATTATATAAAACTCATTTATTTGATACTGATTTTAATGCCTATCATGTCGATTGGGAAATGCATAACATTTCACAGCTTTTTGTGAACTGTCTTAGTCTTGCATATTACAAACCATTATCTATCTGGTCAGAACCAACATCCAATAATTTTTATGTTAGTCTCCGTCACATTTTATTATGATGGAAATGGAGTTTTTTTTCATCGCATCATTTTAGCAAAAAATGTAAGATTTATTTATTAGTTTTTAAATATACGTTCAAATCATAATTCTATTTCCATATTTAATTATGTATCACATTGAATTTTATGTTAAGTAACTTGTAATTTTTCAATAGATTTTTCAATAGAAAGCCCTCAATTATTTTTAGTACAACTCGATATTGATCTTTATGTTATGCATTTTTTCTATTGTGATATTTTACTATTACAGCTGTTATTTTTATGAATACATTACAATTTTTGTTTATCTTTAGATGAAAAGATCGAAGGCTCCTTTTTCCTTTTACTCAATGCACAGGATTTAAATGATATGAAAATAAAGAAAGGACCAGCAAAAAAGATTTTAAAATTTCTTGAGGAATGTTCTCAAACTTCTTCTGGGGTAATGTTTTACTTACTAATAAAGTAATCTTTTATACATATAATTTTTCCGACATTATATTTTTCTTTTTTTCTTTATAGGTTGCTAAACGTGTGGAGCAACTATTGGATACAGAAGAACAAATAGAAATTGTTGGACAACCAGGAGAAATTATTTTAGCTACAAATATTGACTCTGAAAATTGGACAACAATTGCTGAAATACCATCTACCAGCAGCAATATTGCTTTAGTTACAACTGCAACTTCTAATGAAGAAATATCTATACCCAAAGAATCTTTTTCGATATATTCTTTTTTGTATCAGAAAACTAAATTAGCGTTTATATTCAAAATATTTTTAAAAAATTAAAAATTTTATATAATGCAGCGTTTCACAACTGTTCGTAAGACGCTTCTACATCATCCGCAAGATGCTAACGTTTTGGCAGCTGCAGAAGACATATTTACAGAAAGTCATAGACGAAGCCTTATAAGAATAGTAACTTCTGAATTTGTAAAAACACACAAAGATAACTAGTAAGTTTTGTATCTATGAAATGAAGTTGTATTCAATTAAATTTATATTTTTATGAAATTTTGTAAAATTGTCCTGCAGCTATCCACCTGAAGAAGCCAAAGTAGCTCTTGCCGAAAGTATTGTAATAGAATTTCCAAAATTACGTGACCCCGAAACAACTAAAGGATATGTAAAAAAAAATTCACAAATTATTTTTTATTTTTTAAATATAAACTATTTAATATATTTTTCTGTATAACTGTTATATAAAATGAATTATTTATCTTCTTTTTTTACCATTTTAAGGAACTTTACTATGATCCATTTAGTAAAAGAGGTTTTATTGAATATCGTCTTTGGACAATTAGAAAAAATATTTCACCTGCCAAAAAAAATATACTGCAAAAAAAAGAAAAATGGGTCAATTTTCATCCTCTGCAAACAGTTCAGATGACAAAAATGATGACTTGCTTTCTGAAGATTTGTATCAAGAAAAGGTGCGTTATGATACTTTTTTGGATATTAATAGCTTTCTCTAAATTACACAAATACTTTTTTTAATGATAGATATTCTTATGACATAGAAAAAAATTATTTTCTTTTAATTTTCTACATTTCTATTTGATATATCTATCAGATTTCATGGATGAAATTTAAAGTACCGTCTAAAACGAATAAATCTGCAATATCAGAATGTATGAACATTACTATGAAAAATCGAAGAAAATGGATTTTAGAAAATCTTCCTACAATAGACGAAATATTTGATCAATTTTCTCGATTAGCTGATTATTCTGGTCAAATGGTGAGTAATAATGTTTTGACTTCATAATTTATATTTGTATTAAAGAGAAACACATTTTATTTTCCTTTTTTGTTTTTTTTAACATTAAGAATTTATGTATTTATAATTAGTATATTTTATTTCATTTCATTTCTATTTTTTTGATTACAGATTGATGAGGAGTTCGACAGATTGTACAGCGGAGCTTCTGATAATTTTTTAACAAAATTTTCTACATATTATGTTCCTAGAATTCTTACATACTGCAACACAGTGAGACAAGATTTATATAGAGTTTCAAATTTTATTGAAGAAGGTATAGTTCAACTCTCTTACTTCAGTTTTTTTAAATATTTTACATTATTTACATGTATATTAAAATACTAATCGCAATTATTTTATTTTATTTTATAGAAAATCTTCGTGCCATATTACTTTTAGCGCATTTACTCCCTGTGTCAAATTCATTGAGGAAGGGAAAAGGAAAAAAGAAGGGTGTAACTTCAAAGAAAGTAAATATTTTGAATATATAATATAATTTAGATTATGATTTATTTATAAATATACATAATTATTGGAAAAGCTTTATCTTTAAATTTAATTGAATAAAATTTAATTTCAAATTATTGAAATCACTTACTTTTAGAGTTCTAATAAAGAAAATATGAGGAAAGAGGATTACGACGATGTATATTCTACTACATTTCCTAATTCTTCTTTAATACAAATTTGGCCCGTAAGTTTTGTTAAATATTCATTTTAATTTTCTTCATTTTAATATTCATTTAAATATTTATTTTAATGTTCTTTTTTATAGGAAGGATGTAGCATGGAGAACAAAATAAAGGAAATGAAAAAGGAGGCACAAGGTCCAATTCAACCTTATATTATATTAATCAAAGGAAAAAGTTTAACTTATTTTGTTCAGACTGATAATGTTACATTGACTCCAAGTATCAATTCGCCAATCATAGCACTTGATTTATTATTCAAGGTACATTATGTTTTAAATGTTACATATCCTACAACACTACTAAATTTTTTCAGTTTCTTAGAACATTATTGTTTTAAATTTTCATCTGAAAAAGCACATGCTTTTGTATCTTCTACTCATATTAATATTTGTAATACCACACCAATATCAAATGTGATAGATAACACATCAGATACATAAATTTATTCAGCAGTTTAATTTTATTTTATAAAATAAATATTTATGTTAGTTGTTTGCAAAATTCTATAAATTTATGGAAAAAATTATTTTATCATTACAATTTATGTTGTTTTTCTTAATAATTTTTATTTTTGTTAAAAATGATATACTTAGTTTGCATTTTATATAATTTAATAATGCATAAATTTTTCATTTTTATTTGATATATTATTTATTTAGTATATAGTATTCATTTATTTAGTACATCATATAACTTTTTTGTTTCAATTTTCTTGCATATGTTGAAAATAGTTTTCAACTTAAAAAAATTTTGCAAACAATAATATTATTTTTATATTCATTTATTAAAATATATTAATCATATGCCCATACAATTATATATTTATGTATGTAAAGAGACACGGTCGGTCTCGCTATAGTTCCTGCGCTTCGCGTGAACTTGGCGCGAGACACTACCGTGTCTCTTGATTGATATACATTTATATTATTGAATTAAATGCATTATATCAGCAACTGAAATTACCTGTTCATATTCACTGTTCTATTAGTTAAGGTTTACTGATCTAAGCAGTACATATTCACTGTTTTATTAGTTAAGATATACTGATCTAAGCAGTACATATTACTAATTTTACTGTGTATAACAACTATTTTCAGCAGTCAGATATCACTGCTGGAAACAGTTACTGTAGTCAACTGATTTTATCAGTAGTATTGTACTAGTTTGCAGTGCTATACTTATAACTATGGTCATCAGTGACAATTCACTAATGTACAGTTATAATACACTGATTGACTTTAAGAGAGTATTTTCTCTACTATTTTGATCTTAGTTCGGGTGAGCCTCAATTGGCTTCTTGAATCAGATTGAATTATCTATTTAATTTTCTACTCTATTATATAATTCTCTCTCTTTCTCCTCCCTCTTTTCTTTAGCCTACCAACTAAATCTATATCCTACAAAACCCTCCGTTAATAATGCCTTCATGATGTAAATGAATATATCGGAACAACAAAAATTATCGAATAATGTGGCTCTAAAAAGAATACCTTTTGCAATGTCACACCTCATCCAGTTTTCGCGATCAAATTTAAAATGTCCTATCTCGTTCATCCTTTAAAATAGAAAACGTTTTTTAATTTAACACAGCTTTCCTCTTCTTCCTACTATGCATTCATACACACAGACATATAAGACATCTATAAATTATAACATTAATATTACTAATAAAAGAATATTTTTATTTTGTATTTCTGTCCAGCTTCCCAAATTGTAAAACAAACAGTAATCATAAATTATAATTTAATAACAATAACTAAAACACCTTTCTATATTTATCTAGCTCCAAACACTGTAAAAGCGTGAAATTATGTATTTTTGTTTTGTTAATGTAGTATTAAATATTTTTCTCTTATGAATGCATTCGATCATTTAATTAAATAAGACCTCAAATCACCTCTACCTTTAAAAAATATTACTTAAAAAAATATTTATATCAAAACTAAATATGAAATCAATAGTAACTTAGTATTAGTTACGCTGCTAAATTTAAAAGATACATTAATTAGGTTAGCATATGTTCAGTATAGCAGCGCCAAGTTTTTTTAATTAAAAATTTATTTTATATTTAAATTTGTCTTTTTTTAATTAAAATTCTTTTTATACTTAAATATGTTCCATTATTTTAATCACGTTGTAATAGAGAATTAAAACAACTATTTTGTACAACAGTCTTTCTCAGACAGCACACATGTCCAAAATACATCCAAAGGATATCCAGAGGACGTCCTGTCGTCTCAAAAACGTCTTCGGGATATCCTCTGGACGTCTTTTGGTTATACTGTGCTGTCTGTTTGGTTTGAAGATAACAATGTTTTTGTATTAAAATAACACTATTTTATAGGAGTTAAACCCTGATAGAAAAATCACCATGGTGCTAGGCTGGCGCTAACTTACTTGCCCCACTGCCTGATAAGGAGCTAGTATGACATGCAGATTAGCGCCAGACACAAAATCATCACATTCTTCCAGTCTAATACCCGACTTAATCGACTAGTCAGGCGTTATCTAGCTCTAGTGTAGTGCTATCTAGCCGTGACACGCTAGTTCTGATGTACTATCTAGCCATGATGTGGCGATAGCTAGTTCTCACGCAGTTCTTATTTTACTATATTAGAAGTAGTCTGGAGTAAACTAGCGCCAGGCTACTTCTAGTCAAACATTATTAACATAATATATTTCTAGCGCCTCGCTAGAAATAGCTTGACGCTGATTCGCGCCACGTCAAAACAAAATTTATTATATTAAATGGGGATACAACATGACAGTCAAGATGGGAGCTAGCTAGACATCAGGATCTAGCATGGCACTTTCTACCAGGGAAACTTATTTTGAAAATCAGGTTTCTATTAATAAAAATAAAATAAGTTTTAATTTTTATGGAGAGAATCTATAATATATAATATTTTTATAAATAATGTAGATTGATTTTATAACAAATATTATTTTAAATTACAAATCTTCGCGAATTAAATTGCTTCTATACACTTGGCTAAGTGACTATTGATTTCATATTTAGTTTTGATATAAATATTTTTTTAAATAATATTTTTCAAGGTAATATTTTTTACAGTTATTTTTTAGAGTAAATTATTTATTGATATTTTTTAGAGGTAAATATTTTTTAAACGTTTTGTTGCGTACAAGTTGGAATATTTTTTATGTACTTGGCATATTTTTTTTATCTTTGTAAGGTTTTTTTGTAATATCACTGATTTTTGTAAAAATTTATTTTAGAGTAAATATTTTTTAAATACACTCCTGGACAAAATTAATGCACCATGTTAACGCACCATGAATAACAAAAATTTAAACTTTGAATTGGAATGAATTGTATATCATATGAAAATATGAAAATATTGAAATAGTTTAGTGCAAATGTGACAGTGTGAGGCTGCGCGTAATCCTACATAAGTATGAAGTTGTCACCCACAAATGGAGCAAATGACATGACATGTTCCTTCCTAAATATTATTCCGATAAAAAAGTGCATTCAAGGATCTTCTACGGATAGAAACCAACTCTGTGCAAGTTTTTTAAAAATTTTTTCTCTTAATTTTTCGTGGTTTGATCATTAATGTTTTTACTTGACTAATTGTCATTTTCATTGTTTTCTCTCAATAAATCTTTTCTAAATTCTCAGATATTTGCTCCAGTTTATTTTCATATAATATACAATTCATTCATTAATTAAAAGTTTAGACTTTTGTTACTTAATAACATGGTGCGTTAATTTTGTCCAGGAGTTTAATATTTTTTAGAGTAATATTTTTAAGGGTTATTTTTTAGAATAAGTTATTTGTTAATTATTATTTTTTAAAGATAAACATTTTATAAACTTTTTGTTACTACAAATAATATATATCCAATAACAAAAACCTTCTTGCACTATTTCGTCATACTTTTATATTAATTACTTTCTCATCACTTCTGTTTCTTGTTATACTATTCCGCAATAATCTAAAAAAGAAAGGAAAGTGTGACATATAAAATACGTATTGGAGCAAGCAAGATACCTATAGAGATATCGCGCTGTCCGCTGTGAGTATAACTGTCCTGCTCGCACTTCCTTTATTAGTACATCAAATACGCGCTTCGTGTATATGTGTGTAACACACCTTCGGTTGTTTTACACGTATACCTAGCCGGTGAGAGACATGCCGATACGTGTACACGAGCGTTGCAAACGCGCCTTGAGTTGTACGCGATCGTACACGGGCGCTGCAAACGCGCCTTGAGGGACAAAATCGCTTTGCATGTGTGCGTGCGAGCGTACGTACGTGAGTCTAAACCTTATAACTATCCTGACTATCTAAAAATCACAGTTCTGGAATACGATTATCATATCTCAGGATTGACTGCATCAATCTTATTAACTGGTCGCAATAGAAAGCTTGTATTTATATTATATAATAAAAGTATAGTTAGATTTTTTATTACAGCTTTAGTTTCTGAGATATCTTAATCGAAAATTTACTTGACATAAAATTCTGGATAAGCTATTTGATAGCGCCGCGGCTCCTATATAAGCAAAACTGTTGATGATTATGTACTTGGTGTGCGACGCTACCGCGTCGCTTGATTTCTTAAAGATCGCACACGATTTTGTCTCAGGTAATTGAGATCGCTATCTTAATCCTAAAAGGGAATCACCGAACGATATTCTGCAAAACGGAGTAAAATCGATTTTCCTGTCTGACCTTTCCGGTCGTTGACCCATTTTCAGGAACCGTTACACGAACCGTTCGAGTTACAGAGTCAGAACCTTAAATTCTGGCCTGCAAGTTACACAAGTTACGGTCCGACCGCCCTTCCTCGGATAAAGACGTAATAAACGATATACTTGAAAAAATGTTGTCTTCTGAAATTCTAAATTATACTACATTTCAAATAATTATTTCTTTTCTAATATTCTAACATAATTATTTGAAGAGTAGTATAATTTATCCATGTCGCCGGGAATGGTTCAAAAAGTGAGCGTGTTGACTTTGTAGCGGACGCTACAATATACTCGTTTTAATCTTATCAACATAATGTGATAATATTAAACTAATAACTATGTTTAGTTATAATTTTTTGGAAACTGTGACTTACTTTTATAATTCAATATATTTTAATAATACTTTGTATATTTATTTTACCTATATATCCTATCTTGCACCAAGGAATCCATTATAGTCCCATCTATTTCGCCGAAGAACTTTCCGGTATGCTCGTGACGTTCACTTATAATAATAAATCCATTGTTATCTAAAATGTAACAATCGAGTTCCTCCGAGGCGCAATTTTTTTTACATCCCGCCATACCGGTGCACTAAAAAACGAATACTCGAAATAAATGTTGTGCACGATAATTCCAAGTAAGAAGACAAATTTTTCATCGACTTACTGTAGAGGTGATGTTGACGAAGTGAGTTGCCAAAGATGAGTGTTGAAATTGCAAACCCACCACAGCTGCTGGAGCTTTATGATTTTTCCCGACAAATACCGCGTGGGTAGCGGTGACCAGTGGATCGGCAGTATCAGCTAATAATTTGATAATGAAATAATTAAAGAATTATGTAATAAATAAGTTATAAAAGAATTATTTAATAATTGAATAATAATGTAATAATTAAATATCTTATTAAAATAACAATAACCAAAGACAATTCTTATTACATATATATATACAGGGTGTCTGGCAATAATCGCCCCACCGGTTATATACAGGTAGAGGAGGTCAAATCGAGTAGAAAAGTCCTTTACCATTTTTTGATTTTTGTAATAAGTACTAAGTAATTAACGAAAAAAGATTGGTGAATCCATGCAAGTAAAGCGCGCGCAGCGAGAAGGACATCCCACTGCTATGCGATCACTAGGCGCGCGATGAAGCGTTGGGAGGAGCGCTCCATGATGTAAGAAGATAGGTGTACCATTGCCGTGAATGCGCAGTCGTCCAAAGTAATGATCGCTCTTCGACCAATCAGGAATTGGTCCAAAATGCTAAAAAGTAATATGGCTGCCAAAATATGTTGACACGGTTGACACCGAAGGTTATTAAATATAATAATATTAAAAGATATTTAAAAACTATGCCAACGTGTTGTGTAAAGAATTGTATAAGTCGTACTGATCATACGAGATATCATAAGAGATATTAAATATATGTATTCACACATTTGTGTTGGAAACACTTAATTTTCTATATAATATTTATTAATTGATATTATTTATTATTGTGGGTAATTGTCATTTATTGCTACTGTATTTTATATTGCAAATTTATTATTTTCATAAGATATTTTTATAAATTTTAATTACATTTTAATAATATGATAATTCTATATTAGAATTTCGCGGATGCATTTTGGACCACGTTTGATTGGCTGTCCTATCATGCTGACGTCATACGGCTGCCATTATGCGCAATGGTACACCTATCTTCTTACATCATGGCCAGTAGCACTGCCAGTACTGCTGCCCACACGATAGCAAGTACGCACATCTAGTTAGCAATCCAGCAGAGAAAATAGTACCGTGTGCCGCGGGCTTTACGGTTGCGTTCCGAAATTCAGTGCCAGTACTGAAAATCTACGATATACGTAATGTAAACTATAGATTTCTGTACTAGCAG